ATCTATATTAGTTTATAAAATATAGCCGTTTGAAAATTCTTTATCATTTTTCTTTAATTGTTATTAACTTTTGATATAATTAATGTATCGTCTTCAAAATTTGGGAAATCTCTCACTTTTATGTGTATAATAATTGTGCCAAATTAAAAAAAAAATCCGTAACCGAAGGGTTACAAGTCAATCGAAGTATCCAAGAATTACCCATTTATGAAACTTTCCTTTTCTTATGATACAAGGGTGGTACGATAAGTACTTAGCCTCACCGTCCAATGGCGTCACTCTCGCAAAAGAAATATTCTATCACGTAGTACAACCTTCTCGATTGTTACTGTCAAGATTTCAGCCGGATCGGAGTTGTAGTTTATTTTTGAGAGCGTGTGAAAGCAAGTGTGTCCGTTGATTTTTGAAAAATGGAAAAAGAGCAGTATCGGTTGGTGATTCGATTTTTGTTTTTGGAAGGCAAATCGCGCAGCGAAATCAAAAAGCGCTTGGATGCTGTGTACGGTGACTCTTCTCCTTCGATGGCGACCGTCAAAAATTGGTTTAACGAGTTTCAACGTACAATGCCGGTCAGCCACTTTTACCCCCCCCCCCCCCCCCCCCACGGCCAAAATCAGTCTAACTTCAAAGTTTTATATCTCTGGTAGAAACTAACGTACAGAGACGCGCGTCAGTGCGTTTGAAAGGTCTTTCGGAGAGCTTTCAAATGATATGACTCACGGTTGCCATCGATTGTTTTTTTAAATTTTGCAACAATTATGCAAAATTGAAAATTCTGAAATTTTTTTATTATTTTTGACAATTAGCCAATTTTGGAAAAAAAATTGTACGAAAATTTGAAGTACACCATTTTTTAGCTATTACCAAGCCCTATCTGAATCACTCGTCAAAAATTTATTTTCGTCAAATATGATGCGCGCACGGGCATTTTTTCCTGGAAGTGACAGTTTTTTTCAACATTTTTTATCTCCGTCAAATTGTAACAATCGAAAAAAATTTTATAGGAGAAAAAATGTTTGTTTTTTCACGTAGAATACTGCAATAATTTTTTTTTCGGTTTTTCGAAAAATTTTTTTTTTCGGTTTTTTTCAATTTTTTTTTCTCACAGTCGGTACGCTAAAAAGATGAGAAACAACAAAAAAAAATTTTTTTCCACCCATTCAATAATATTACATAACAAGTATCGTAATTTACATAAAAAAAAAAAATCTTTTTTTTTTCTACCTTGAAAAATAATTTAAACCGAAAAAAAAAATTTTTCGAAAAACCGAAAAAAAAATTATTGCAGTATTCTACGTGAAAAAACAAACATTTTTTCTCCTATAAATTTTTTTCGATTGTTACAATTTGACGGAGATAAAAAATGTTGAAAAAAACTGTCACTTCCAGGAAAAAATGCCCGTGCGCGCGTCATATTTGACGAAAATAAATTTTTGATGAGTGCTTCAGATAGGGCTTGGTAATAGCTAAAAAATGGTGTACTTCAAATTTTCGTACGATTTTTTTTCCAAAATTGGCTAATTGTCAAAAATAATAAAAAAATTTCAGAATTTTCAATTTTACATAATTGTTGCAAAATTTAAAAAAACAATCGATGGCAACCGTGAGTCATATCATTTGAAAGCTCTCCAAAAGATCTTTCAAACGCACCCACGCGCGTCTCTGTACGTTAATTTCTACCAGAGATAAAAAACTTTGAAGTTAGACTGATTTTGCCCGTGGGGGGGTAAAAGTGGCTGACCGGCACTGTAGTCGCACGTCGATTTTTAAAGACCCACGTCCAGGTGCTCCGAAAACGGCTACCACGGAGGATAACTTGACAAAAATTCACGATCTCGTATTGGCAGATCGACGATTGAAGGTGCGCGAGATAGCTAAGATCGTAGGCATCTCAAAAGACCGCGTGGATCATATCCTGCATGAAATTTTGGGCATGAGAAAGCTGTTGGCGCGATGGGTGCCGCATTTGCTCACTCCGGAGAACAAGCGCAACCGTGAGACAACTTCAGAGCAATGTCTGACGCTGTTTAAGCGCAATCCGAAGGAGTTTCTGCGTCGTTTCGTGACAGTCGACGAAACATGGATCCACTGGTGTACACCAGAGACCAAGGAACTGTCGAAACAGTGGACTTTACCCGGCGAAAGTGCTCCAAAGAAGGCGAAGACTGCCCCGTCGGCCGGAAAGGTAACGGCCACCGTTTTCTGGGATTCACAAGGTGTGATGTACATCGACTACCTGGAAAGGGGCAAAACGGTCACAGGGCTGTACTATGCCGAATTATTGGGCCGATTCGACGTCGAATTGCAGAAAAAACTGCCCCATTTGGCGAAGAAAAAAGTGCTCTTCCACCATGACAACGCACCGGCTGAAACCTCCGGCGTTACCATGGTCAAATTGGTTGAATTAGGCTACGAACTGCTGTCCCATCCACCGTATTCTCCAGATTTAGCCTCGTGCGACTTCTTTTTGTTTCCAAACTTGAAAAAGTCACTCGCCGGGCAGAAATTTGAGTCGAATGAGAAGGTAATCGCTGCCACGGAAGCCTACTTTTCAGATCTCGAGGAAACGTATTTTTCAGGCGGGTTAAAGAAGTTGGAGCATCGCTGGGCCAAGTGGATCGAACTAAAAGGAGACTATGTTGAAAAATAAAACGCCACTTTTCCAAAATTTTCATTTTTCTTTTGTAGGCTAAGTACTTATCGGACCACCCTCGTACTAAGGCATTTATCACATAATTCTTTTGCTAGAGTAATTTGATCTAGAATATTATATAATTTATAAATAACATATAATAAAAAATCTTAATTTTCTCATTGTTACAGCTTACGTGTAACAGTATTTTTACTTTTTCTTAAAAAACAAGTGAGCGTGCTAAGCGCTATTTCGCAAACATTACATATGCATTTGGACCTTGTTTATTTTAATGGTATAAATAAGGCTAATTCTGGAGATTTAATTTTTTCTGCTTTTGCTATTTTTGATTTATACACAAGCCTTCTAGACGTGGAACACAAAGTTTCAGGTAAATAAACTTTATCATAATACTTGTCAAAGAACTTTTCCACATCTGATTTAAATTGATTTTTTAATAATAAACATCGCTTTCTGTTTTCGAAAATACAAAAAATACACTTTCAACCGAGATTCACCATAAGTTAAAGCTATATACGGCATTTTTAATAACTATGCCGACAGTCACGATCGCTTCTTGCCTACTTAGTAGTCAGAAGTCTTACGATTGTTTGGTTACATCTGAATGTACGATGCAGTGATAAAGTTCGTATTATCATACTGGATTTTCACAAGCTATAAAAACTTGGACTACTTCAAAAATACGTAGTATAAAGTACATGTCCTTTTAAACACGTTTTTCGCGTGTGACCGCTGGACAAGACTCAGACAGGAATTGGAAGAAACGGTCGGCAGCATCACCCCAGTTAATATCGTGGCACTGATGCTGCATGAACCCGAATGGTGGCGCTTAGTCGCTACCTATACGGAAACTATACTGAGACGTAAGAACGCGGACGGCTGCCTGACAGATGACTAAACAGACGAAGTGACACGACGTAACGAGATACGGAGGAACAACAAGAACGGACGAACACAGACAGAACCTCCAGTCAGAAGTAATATCAACATAGTCCCTGGCTAGGGAAGGACACCAACGAGATGGCGGTTTAGTGGATAGGCCTATTTATTTTTTCGGGGAGTCCTACATAACCCCTCAGTCAGAAAGACTAAGGAAAATCCGCAAAAAGCATTCCGCAACTCCTTGTAAAACAAAACAAACAAAATAATAATAATAATAATAATAGTAATACCGAGCTGATCCAGTGAGTGGTTACATCTCACTGGGCAAATGCTAGCTTCCAACGTCCACGACCGTGCCTGGCGGAAACGTTGTCCGTCGTGTCAATGCACTGAGCAGCAACGTTATAACGGACACGGCCTAAAGGAAGATGTGGCTCACAAATGACGCAAAAGATAATGGTATTCTACCAAAGTACCCAACCATTAATCACCTACACACACCTACACTTACACACTACACAAACACTTACACACACGTGCCTCTTGGCAAATCGCGGCGAGATGAATGCCCGGCGACCCTATAAACGGGTCTTACCGAAAGAGCGAATGTCCGGGCCCTTCTATAAACGGAGCCGCCCGAAAGCGAATGAAGAGGATCCCGCCCAGTTATCAAAAAAATTTGAACAAATTCTACTCTTTGGTTAATTCTAAGACCTTTTGTTTTTATAAATTTTTTCCTAAAGCCTCTAGCAAAATATCATCGAACATTCTGCGAATTCCAACCATTTTAACTTTTTTGAAAAATAAAAAATTTTCTCCAACAAAATTTGAGAATGTTCCATGATAAATTTTAAGACATTTTTCATCTATAAAACTTTTTTCTCAACTTCATATTTTTTAAGAAAACCTGATAACGAAAAACGAATTTTTTTTTAGGTTTTTGCATTTTATTTATCATTTTGTACAAAAGCTCATCTATAAAAATCCCGACTAGCCCTTCTCGCAGGATCTTACTATTACTATAGGCTCGTCATTACATTATTACTAAACTATCAATTGACACATCTCGGATTAATGCATCAATTTTATTATCAATATATTATTACGTTACCCTGTAGCTCTTCCAAACAATGCCATAACATATTCCAACAAAAATTGCCTTATAATTACGGGCACGACAATTTCGCTGTATTCTTCTCACTTTTTTTCGCACATTATGACTTTGATGTATTAATTTTTAGTCTTTCAAATGAAATTAAAAAAAAATTTTATTATATGGAATTAAGATAATCATAGTCAAAGACTAAACTTAACGCAAGATCCTATGTAAAAAATAAATCGTTTCGCTTTTGCAATTTTTCATATTACTTATTTACAAAAATCTTTATGAAAATCATTATACAACGATTAGCCGCTACTTATTTCAAAATAAATTAATCAATATAAATATAAAGTTTAACTTTACCTTAAAACCTGGACAAAGTTTTTTAATAGAATATTTGGTGTTATTTCTTCATTTCTAAGTGAGCTACGAAGTTCAAGACGATGAATACCATCTCCAGACTGCATAGTTAAATCACCATTAATCAAGCGAATACCATGAAATTCCATAGTATAGTCAATGAGTATGTCGCCTAAATTCGCCCAATATTTAGCTATAGCAACTTCAAGAATCAATCCACCTTGCAAAGAAAAACCTTGTACCGTTTCTGACTGGGAGGTAACATTAACCATTTTATTAAACTCCAAAGTTTTCGTTGATAAGCGCGGTTTCAATTGTACTGCATGTATAACAAATCTACCGGTTTTGTCTTTTTCTGATGTTTTTAGTCTTAAAACTGAAATATTATAAAACAAAAATCCAAAATGTTAATGGTTACGGAAGCATAATAAGATTTAGATATTAAGTGATTACAGATAATAAGAAAAATAAAGTTCAACCTGCCCACGTAGCATCGTCAGGTATAAGAATAAAATGTCTACGAATAGTGTTTGGTTTAAATTGAACATTGGTATACATAAGATCAGGTAATGCTGTGATTTTCGAAAGTAACGAAGGCTGAACAACAGTTATTGGTATGCGAAATATTGGTCCTTTGTTCACATTGGTAACGTCAAATGCTCGTATACTAAAAATAAATTATTTTATATAAATAAATATTCGATACAGATTTTTAAATAAATTACTTGATACGGAAGTTTGTTATTTTTTTCAATATTATGAAATTAAAACATAAAATTAAAGATAAATACCTTGTAAAGTGAGCACCTTCTTGTAATGCTGCTGCATCAACTCGGACTGCAAATGCTCTTGACATGTGCATTAAATTAAAATGTGTCGGAAAATGTATCCAAGCCGCATCGCATACCATGGCAAGTCTCATATTAAAGTCAATTTTTCGTGCCGGATCTACGTAATTAACAAATACATTCGAAAAATTAAAAATTAGTTGGACGACGTCTGATGTAGTCCAAGGTAACAGCATAAAATTTTCAATTGTTATTCAGATTAACAATTCTATTTGAATAAAAGTTTATCAGCCATTCATAACTTTTCTATATATTAAAAAATGATATGTTGAATATTTAAAATAATCAATGTTGAAACTTAACTTTTAACTATTTTTTTGTAATAGTACGTTTATCTAACAAAATGTATTGGTACATAATTTATGCAAGTTGACTTTCCAAACTCAAAGTTAATATAACATTTCAAATAAAGTATACCCGAAAAATACAGAAATATTTGTAATATTTAAATAATCTTAAAATATATCTTGAAGTTATCTATTTGATCAATGCTAATTAATTTCACTTGGATTTAATGCCAGCCTTATTTAATATAAAAAAATAATTACTCATGTATATACAGTATCTTTTAAACAGCTTTTAATGGTACTATTGCATTTGATTTCTCAACAGAAGCGCAAACTAACTGTAATCGGAGTAAATATTATCGACGACTAATGTAACTCATGAAGAATACCTCTGAACGACCATGTCATTTCGTACTGATCTATTTACCATATCGACCTTTGCAATTTTTCATTATCAATAACATGTCGAATATTAAATTAATAAAAGGGACAATACAGTAACTGCTTGTAGAATCTTTATAACCCATCAGGACTGAATTTATAATAAGCTACGCAAATCTCTCGTAAGACACTTTTCAAAGACCAATACTGTATCATTTCTGCTGTGGAAAATAACGAAACTTTGCTCGAACGAAATAGGAGTTTTTAAAATGATAAAAAAGAAGTAACGGCGTTGAAGAAGTAGAATATTCCAAGAGTTTAAAATCTATTGTGACAGGTAATATTTCATTTAATATATTTTTTGTCCTTTCTTGAATAGAAATATAAATACTGGCGTATAAGATACTCGATACATACAAGGGGGGTCAATAAGTCTTTAAAAAATCCAAGAGATGGCGCTAGTCACGCTTAAATTATGATGTTTTTAGCAAGCAATACTACTAACTACTAGATATCATACAAAGTTTCAGCTCGATTCATTAAGTTGTTTTTTTGTGAGCGTTGATTGAACAAAAAGTTATTGGTTTATTTGAAAAATGAAAAAAACAGAGTTTCGAGCGGTGATAAAACATTTTCATTTGAAAGGCCTTACACCAAAAAAAATGACAGTTGAGTTGAACGCCATTCATGGCAAGTCTGCCCCTGTGTTTAAGACTGTTCATAACTGGGTAAATGAATTTCAACGCGGCCGTAAAACAACAAAAGATGAACCTCGTTCAGGACGCCCCGTAGAAGTGAGTACGCCCGAAATGGTCAACAAAATACACGATATGGTGTTGAGTGATAAAAGATTAAAATTGTGGGACTTAGTTGAGGCCACAGGGGTATCAAAGGGTACAATCATTTCAATTTTGCATGAAAAATTGGGGATGAAAAAAATATCAGCAAGATGGGTGTCGCGTTTGCTCACTGTTGAAAACAAACGAACCCGCGTGGTCACCTCTGAGACTCTTTTGGCATGCATACGCCGTAATCCGGAAGACTTTTGGCGTCGACTCGTAACTGTAGACGAAACATGGATACACCACTACACTTCTGAAACCTAAGAAAAGTCCAAACAATAGATTACCCCAGAAGAATCAGCCCCAAAGAAGGCAAAGACCGTAAAGTCAGCTGGCAAAATTATGGCCACGGTTTTCTGGGATGCGTATGGAATCATCTACATCGACTACTTAGAAAAGGGCCAGACGATCACTAGACAATATTATGCGTCATAATTAGGTTAGCTAAAAGAAAAAATCAGAGAAAAACGTCCTCACTTGAACAAAAAATAATGCCTCTTTCTTCAAGACAATGTTCGAGTTCACACGTGTGCAGTTTCGATGGCAAAAATTAACGATTTAAAATTTGAATTAATTGACCATCCACCATATTCGCCTGATTTGGCTCCCAGTGAATTTTTCTTATTTTCTAATCTCAAAAATGGCTTGCCGGACAACGATTCACGTCGAATGAAGAAGTTATTGCCGAAACATATGCCTATTTTGAGGGTTTTCAAAAATCATATTTTTCTGATGGCTTAAAAAAAACTCAAAAACCGCTTAATAAAATATATCGACCTTCAAGGAGATTATGTTGAAAAATAAAAAAAAAATTACATACGCAAAACTCTTTTTTCCTTCTTTTTGTAAAGACTTATTGATCCCCCTCGTACTTTGATTAAAGTTTCTTTCAAAAACATGAACAAGCGGACAGATACGGTAAGTAATTAAGATTTCCAAGAAAAACATAATTAAGTACATCCTTTTTGCTTTCTGGAAGAAAACGCTTTATAACAGTGAAATTTCAATGCTTACATTCCCCGTCACATGCTCTTGCGAATATTAGGAAGAATCTAGAAAGCACAAGAGTTTAATACCTTGGCGAAAAATTACACAGGTACACAAATAATAGGACATTTTCTATATCACAAGCGACCTATAGTATTCCCGAAGGATTTTGGTGCGGTGAATCCAAATCTAGCCTTAGAATTATTTCATAATATCAGGTTTTTGAGATTTTCTACCAAATGTGAAAAAAACACTGTTTTTTGACATATTTGAGCTTATGTAGCATTGTAAGTAAATTTTTTCACAGAAAACTATTTTTTAAGCATTTTAACCCATTAACGCTCAAGCGAACATTTGACAGACTGTTCATTTTTCGTCTCTAAAATATAAGACAACCCAACTATTATTAGGAAAAAACACTTTCTTATGTAAAAAAACTTGTTCTCTTCGAATCTGAGGTTAAATTTAAAAAATTTTCTCCTAGAAATTCAATATGGCCATAAAAATAACTGAACTCAAAACATCGTCTGTCTGATTTTAACAATTACTGTTTTTCTTATTTTTTTTTCGAAAAAATAAGATTTGGAATCTAGCCATATTACATCCATGAAATATAAAATAGATGGAAAAGATGTGAAAATGTTAATACTAAACATTATTAAAATGGCGGATCCAATATGGCCGCAATTACAAACAATTTTTTTTCGACAATTCTTAGCAAGCAAGTAATCATTTTATATGTTTTGAAGGGTAATAGAGTAAAAATATACAGATCGAATACACTTGACCTTTTGACATTCAAAATTAAAGTTAATTGTAAAAATAAACTAAGATGCAAGATTTCTCGTTTATCTATTACATATTCTCCTTAACAAAGAAAATAAGCCGTAACACGTTAGAAAAATTGAAAATAGGATGAGCTATGCATTTTACAACATAAAGTATTTTTTTATTTTGAAAAAACATATTCACGTTCTTATAGCTTTTAAATGGTTGAAATTTGCAGAGAGACTTTTTTTCAAACGAACTATCATAGAAAAAATCGGTGACATAAAATTCGGATTTATGCAAAATTTGAATAAATGCATTGTTAAATTTTTTTATTCTGTTTGATAAAAGCTATAAAACTATAAGTGTAACGTGGAATCAATCAATTTCGTAGTTAATATGTATTAAGAAATGCAAATAATCATATAAATCTTTATTATCGTGTAACGAAAGCTCGTTCGTTAACCATTATTTAGAGGTGGGCAAGTGAGACGCACTCGCTTATAGTAATTGAGGCAGGAAGGGGGAAGAAACAAAGAAATGAAAATGGTTAATAAATAATACACACAAACAAATTCTCATTTTAACAAATCTAATTAAATCAAATAAAAGTTACATTGCACTTAAACTTCGCTATACCGCACATTAACAAATCGCATAAGAATAAGTCGCATTACACAAACTCTTAATCTAGTAAACACAACGACGTTCTTAACACCTATTACAAAAGCGAGCAAGTTAACTAACTAATCGTGCCGATAAATCTATACAAAACAACACGCGTCGCCCGGCAGATGACCGCCTTGATAACCAACCGACTTAGGCTACTTAGCTAAAAAAGAAAGTCGCCCAGCGAGGGATCACCTGGACGATTTCTCTTTGAGCGATTTATTACCCCGACCGTAATTAGGGCAGTTAGCTAGCGCGTGCACGCCTTAATATTTAAATTTACGCACAGTGCCGTCATTGAAGAGAGACAGAAAGAGAGAAATTAATTTGCGAACTTGACCTTTGATGCTGGAAAATGACGGAGTCCTGGCTGCGCCCTGCGCACGATGTTGCAGGTCGTCGCTGGGCAACTCCTGCCGGTTTCCCAGGTCGCGTCCCGAGCAGATACAGCACCAAGTCGTCTTCTCCTCTCGGTTTTATTCTCGGCCCTTTGTCCTCGGCTGCACTTCTGACTTTTTCGTCGTTGGCCGTCTACCGTCTTACTGCGATCGACTCGGAAAAACTTCTGACACTGCCCTCGCCTTACTACGTCTGTATCGCTTGTTTTTCCTCGCGATCTACAGCTTCTTCGCAAAGAAAATAACAACCAGATAAATTCTACTATCCTCTAAACTATATTCCATAAACTATAAATAAATAAAAAATAAGAACCTAAATGATTGTATGACAAATTTTGACCTTCGAGTCAATACTTAACATTTGGTTCCGATACGAAAAGGGTATTTGCTTTACATAAAGTAACGCTTTATGTCAAATTCATTTTTAATGATTGATAACAATCTTTACAGTTCCGATAACGCGAAAATATTTACGCGACCGTAAGTAAAAAATAAACTAGATTCAACCAGTAATATGGTCAAACATTTGCTGCAGATCCTTTCAAAAGATCGAACAAACTCGCACGCCACCCTCCTACAGGAAGTAGTGGAAATAGGATGGACAAAACCTTGGATGATTCGATCAAATCTAACAGACATACGGTACAAGAAACGCATTTAATTGATATATCAGACATCAATACTTCTGAAAAAAGCACACAAATAAAATCAACATTAAATTTTGAATACCTAGGTGATATCTTCGTCAATTTTTGAGCTAGAAAATTC